CGCCATGGCGAAATGCCAGTGCCGTTTCGCCAAGAATTTGTACGCTTTCGCCAATTGGCGAAACGGCACATGACTTTTCGCCACGGCGATTTGTCTTTTGGCGAAACGACAGAGATTCCTCACCGGACATTTTCTTTTCCTTTTTAAATTGCTCCTCCATAGTAACATTTCAGATACATTCCTCGGATGGTTCCTTATTAAAATGTAATGCAAATTTCGAGTAAAATTTGTTTTCGTCTTTTCTTTACATCATTTGATAGAGTTTGAACTACTGATCACGAAAAACTACTTTTCAGCCTTAGCAAATGTTGTTTTTAGGTCGAAAAACAGAAAAAACTTCAAGGGATCCGCTTTTTGGAAAACAACAACTTTTGGAGAATGCGCGAAATTCTCTGCTTCGTTCTTTCTTTCAGCTTCCGAAAATATCTTTTCCAGATTCAGCATCAAAAACGGAGTACAAACACGTCATTAATCGACTCCAAAAGTATTTTGATAGGGGCGCTTCGAACCATGGCGAGCGTCATTTATATAGGTCGTTTTGTAAACCTATCTAGTTCTTTTGCGTAAGTAATGAAGGCACATATTTTATCTCATTTGACTCATCATACCATCAGTCACAAAAGTATGTATGGGTGTTTTTTCTTTTCGTTCTTTTGTCGAGAAAAAGTGATTTTACTGCTGTGATAGAAAAATGGGAAGGTCATTTTTAAATACAACGACAATTTTTTACTCAAATCAAGTGAAAATTTGTTCACATAGGTAAGAGGTAGCGACGAATCAAATGAAAACACTTTAAGATCTCTAGAGAACATGTTCCATGGATATGGATGATCAAGAATTAACTTTCAATGAAAAACTTTTGGTAAGCGACATTGGTGATCTTGCTGAAATGTGCAAGTCGAAATGTGACACGAAATATCTTAGTACTTTAAGTGATATGTCATTACGTCACTTCGATATAAGATGGGAAGATGCCGATGAGTAATTGAAAAGTATTGGTTTTTATGATGGGGGAAAGTTCTCATATATGGGCACAGTGTAAAGAGACTAAAATTCTGATTCTGACACCAATTTTGAGCTGTGGTCCTGGCATCTACTGTGGTACAAAAGACAACCAGACTTTTTCAACAGGTTAAGTTGCAAGTTTGCAAACACGCGCCTTACTACTATTGTTTGTTGTGATAAAATTTAATAAAGATTATAACAATCGTATACATACAAGAATCATTGTTTTTTTGGCACTCCGACGAAACCTACGCGATTGAGATATCAGTTATCACCCTCACTTTTACATTTCTCTTCTTCTGACTGCGAATTTAAGGCAATGTTATCACCTTCCAACTGATGAAGTTCATTTTCATTTTCGTCAAAGTGCATAAGAATCAATTTCAATGGCTACAATAACTGATTAAATTCAGGGTAAAATCTTTTTCTAGGATGATGTGCTAATTTATTATATATGTTGAAGTTGTACTAATAATTTATCTTCATTATCGCCTCGTTGTGCATCAGTTTTACTGACTGTTTTTGGTGGATTACTATTCAACAGAAGTGTAGTTAATCTTGTTAAATCCCAATCACTTGTATTACAATTTTGTGCGGATGTACATTGAACTGACGTTAAATGGAATTTACTCTTATTTTTACCAATAACATTGATAAAAACGTTTGCTGAAGATGAATCATTCCATGTTTGTCCGCAGAATTGTTGATAAAGACTTTTAAAATTGACATTACCCGGTATATATTATTACGGCGACCGTAAAGATTGTCCCAAAACAGATAATTAACATTATTATATATGCACAATTCCAAATTTTGACGTTTCATTTGGCGGAAACAAATATTTATGGAGATATAAGAATTTTTTCATATAAATCTAACCTAATGTAAAAATTCATTTTTGATTGAACTGACGCGTATTGAGAAGTAATGTTGGTCGCGTTCGATTGAGCACATGAAAGGATCTTTTCCACTAAGTTTTACCCCTTTTTTTCTACAAAAGCATAATGCAATCAAGTTGA